CCCGCGCCCTTGCCGCCCGGCCGGCGCTGGAGAGGCTCAGCGCAGCTCGATGCCGCGCTCCTTGCACACGGCCACCAGCTCAGGCTGCTTCTTGTTGTCCACGAAGAGCAACTGCACGCGAGGGGAGGCGCGATGAGCACTGGGCGGGGAAGGGGCGTGTGGCGAGGGGGGGCGTCTCGCGCCTTCAAGCTCGGGGCGGCCCCCTCCTTGAGGGCGGCGGCCAGCGCCTTGCAGCCCTCGTCGCGAATCTCGTTGTTGGTGATTATGAGCGTCTCGAGCCGCGGCGCCGCCCCGCTCGCGAGGACCTCCGCCAGCTGCGCCGCCTCCGCGTCGCCCCAGCCGAGCATGCCGTAGATCAGCTTGGTCGCCTTGCCAAACCGCTCCTCGAAGGCGTCCTTGTACAACCCCTTCACAAGCGGATAGTCCTCCTTGCCGTTGGTGAAGCTCTTCTTCTCCAGCTCAATCGCGAAAGCAGACGGCAGCAGCGGAGGGCGCCGGCCGCCGTCCTGGGTGCAGTCGTCTCGGAGGCTGCCGCAGTCGTACTCCACGCCGCCGCGCATCAGGCCGAGGTCGAGCGAGAGGTAGCCAGCCTTTGTCAGGCCCGCCCAGCACTGCTCCGTGAAGCACCAGCCGCGGTCAAAGTACTTGGCCACGTTGGTGCCCTCGGGCTGGTCCTCCGCCTTGTGGCCGTCCGGGAAGGAGGTCAGCCGCAGCACGTATGTCTTCGGGTGGGAGTAGAGCGTGCCGAGGCAGCCCAGCCCCTGCTTGAAGAGCGCGTTCTGCTCCTCGGTGCGCTCGACGCCGTTGGCGGGGTCGGGGTGCTGGTGCAGCGAGCCGAAGTCCCAAAAGACGCCGAGCCGCGGGATGTAGACGGGCTCGCTGAGCAGGACCTTGAGCGCCCTTGCGACGCGGGCGAGGTTGGCTCCGCGCGGGTCGGGGTGGTCCTTGGTCAGCCACGGGTAGGAGAGCGCGGCGACGGGAAGCCAATCCGCATACTCGTTGGTCGCCTCGACGAGGTCGGCGAGGGAGAGGAAGGCCTCCTTGGGCAGCGCCTGGCGGTGAGTGAGGACGCCGCCCGCCTCGGCGTGGCTGATGACCCACTGCGCGTCGAGGACGGCGACGGCGCCGCTCGCGAGGACCGGCTCGAGGTCGCCGCCGCCGTGCTTGCGCCACAGCTTCAGCTTCCTCTCGTAGGGCGTCGGGGCGTCGAGTTCGACCAAACTTGTCCCCCCCCCCTCGGCAGGGGCCTCGACGCGGCTGGAGAAGCAGAAGCAGCCCATCGACTTTGCAAAGCACACGCTCTGTGAGTATGATTAGGCGCTCATACGCTTCGAGCGCCCGGCACCACACACGCTTGCTGCTGCTGCAGGCTCGCCCACAGCGCCCGCGCCGACCCCTGCGCGACAGCTTCGCGCGGCCAGCGGCGCCGCCGACCCGTCAACTTGAGTGAGGATGTGCTTGGAGCGGCCGCCCGAGGAGGAGGTACCGGTAGTGATCTCCACATCCGTCCCCTGCTCCAGCTTAGGTGGAAAAGAATTAGTTTCCCGGTAGGGAGGCGTGTGCCGAATACAAATGGGAATATTTCGGTTGACCCAGGTGTATTCTTTTTTTGCTTGGGGCGGACAGCATGACGGGGTAGGTAGGGTAGGTCTGGGCCCTCCCGTCGGGTTTTTCCCTCTCTTCGCGCGGAAATTTCACAGCAGAAAAAGAATTTTCCGAAATCACGACCATGTCAACCCTCCCCAAGTGGGTGATCTGATTGATGCTTGTATAGCCTTGAGAGTGGCCTGCCATGCCACAGGAAGGACTGTGGTTGCAGGAGAGTACCACCAGTCATCACTTTAGTTGGTGTAGTACCCCACCTTCACCGCACCAGTGATTTCTTTTTAGTTTCCCAGGGAGTAGGTAGGTAGGTAGGTAGGGGCAGGGCAGGGGCCGGCCAGGTTTTTCCAGAATTTCATGATGCTGTCCGCCAAAGCAAAAAAAGAATATATCCCCCGGTATTTATACCGTAGGGAGGCGTGTGCCGAATACAAAGGATCCTACAGTTCGCACCTGTGTCGAGCCTGTCTGCTGCGAGAGCGAGTTGTTTTGTTTAAATTCCTACAGTGGATCCGCCCGCCCGCCCGCAATAAGCGCAGTGTCCTCTTCAGCCTGCCGAGAGCCTCCTGGCCCGCGCGCGCGCTCCGCCTGCCGCGCGGAGCGACTCGGTGGACGTCCGAGCCCGCCGCCCCTCGCCACTGCTCCCTGCTGGCCCATTCAGCGCGACACCGCCGGCGCTGCGCCTGCTTCCTTGTGCGCCGCTGGACGTCGGCCGAAAAGACTGCTTCCTTCTGGGGACCCGATTCCGCGAAGATCGCGCGCGCGTCGTGAATGCGGCGCGCGCGCGATCTCTGCTCCCGGGCACGCCGGTCGCAGTGGCATGGGCTCCCAGGCTCAAAAGCGCTCCCGTCAACAGCGAGCGAGCGCCGCCGCTGCTCCTCCTCCCGCCGCCGCTCCGCTCACCGAGACAAACTCGGTGCCGCCGTTCTCGCCGCCGCCGCCGCCGCCGCCGCCTCGCCCCTCGCCTCCGTCACCGCCGCCCTCCATCTCGCGGCGGCGTCCCTCTGAGATGGCGCGGGCGCCTCGCTCGCCGGCGCCTCGCCGCTGCCCCCCTCTCGCCGCCGCTCCGCTCGTGGCCGCCGCCTCCCCTGTCAATCCCGCCGTCCGCACCACCGCTGCCGCCGCCTCGCGCCTCGCCGCCGCCGCCGCCGCCCTCCCCCTCGCCGCTGAGCGGTGCTTGGCGAGCCTTCTGCTTCTCACCCCCGCCGTCCGCCGTCGCCCCCGGCCGCGCTGGCCGCTGCCTCTGCCAGCACAGCCTACCCCTAGGAGCTAGGTGCACACTCTCTCCTTCCTCTGTACTCTGACTGCGCCGCCGGCGCCGCCACGCATGCAGTTGGGTGCTTGGGTCAGCGGCGTGAGCCGAGAGGTGGCCCACCGGCCCACCGCTGACAGCGCTCAGCGCGGGGGGGGGGGGGGGCGCCCCCCGCGCCCACACACGCCCGCGCGCCCAGCGCAGCAGCACGACGGCTCCTCTCGCCACCCCACGCGCGGGGGCGTGACGTCTGTAGCGAGGCGACGGACGGTGGGACGGTGTCCGACCCGTTATCTGGGGTTTTCATATGATGCCGCTCTACTCGTATCGACCAGTAAAATACCGGGGGAGGCCTGCGCAGCCTCTAACTATTTCGACACCCTTCAGAACACTGGGCACCACGACCTTTGAACAGCGCTTCATTCGAATGGCGTTCGCCTCGGACGGCCTGCCGCCGCCGGCGCACAACGCTGCTGCCGAGGGCGCGGCGCGCGGCCGCGACGGCGCGCAAGCGGCCGATGATGGCCAGAGACCCGGCGTCAAGCGCCGACTCGACGGCGAGCTCGCGAGCGCGCGCGTCGGCGTCGACGACGCCAAAGGAGGCGACACCATTATGGTGGACGCCACGCACATGGCCGCTGCGGCGGCCGCCGGCACCGACAGCACCACGAAGCGCCTGCTGCACGTCGCGCTCGCGGCGCGCGACGGCACGCACATCCCTGACATCAAAAACAAGACGGCGCTCGTCACCGAGATACGCCAACTTGTCGAGAAGACACCAGGCTGCGAGGCGCAGCCGGCGAGCGCGATCAGCGTGCCCATCATCGGCACGTCGCGGGCCGTCTGCGTCGCCTTCAGCGGCGAGAGCGAGGCACGAGCCTTCCTCGAGCACCACGCCGGCGGTGGCGCCATACAGCTCCCAGCTCCGGATGACGTCACCATCCACTTCGTCGCTCTCGACGCCTCCGAGTGGGGCAGGCAGGCGGAGGCGCGCGAGCTCAAGGCGGCGACAGAGTCCGACGGCCTCCTCGCCATCCGCACGCGCGGCGCCATCAACACGGCCGCCCAGATCGAGCACTTCGCCCCTCTCTTCGAGAAGCACTTCGGCAACGTCGTCTCCGTCCAGGAGGGATATCACTCCTTCCTCGGCATCAAGTCGGACGAGAAAGGACGGCTCCCTCCTGTTCAAGGTCAAGAACGAGAACCTCGTCAGCGACCTCCCGCTCCTGCGCAACGTTTTCGCGAGCGGCGATGTCGGCGGACCCCTGCGCCTCGACGTAGGGTGCGTCAAGACCCTCGGCAACAAGCTCTGCCCCTCGTGCCGCGCGTTCGGGTCGACCAACGCCGACATCGTCCACGGCACGCTGTGCGAGGCGCAGGCTCTCAAGGCTCGGCGCGCTGCAGCGGCCGGCGTCGCCAAGAAGAGGGGCTTCCAGACTCTCCTCGCCGACAACAAGGTCGAGGTCGCGCGCGCGGCGGGCAAGGTCAAGGCGATCGCGGCGCGCGACGGGCTGGGCTTCTGCACGACCTTCAACCAGACCGGCCTCCCCTGCAAGATCAGCGCCCGCTGCCGCCACGCGCCGTGCGTCAACTACGAGGAGCTCCTCGGCACCGCTTTCAAGGGCACCGTCTACGAGCGGATGCCGAGCGCAGTTAGGCTCGGCACGAGCCGCGGGCGGCGCGGCGGCCGCGGCCGCGGCGGCGGCGGCGGCGAGGTCAAGAGCACCAAGAAGGATTGGGCGAGCTTCGCGCGCGGCCTCGCCCGCTCCCCCTACCATGGCGGCCCACGCCTTGAGTCCAACGAAGCCTCCCTCTTCGAGGGGAGCGATGACGAGCTCTAGAAGCGGCCGCCGAGCCCTCCCCGCGGCGCAACTCTAGCAGCGCCGCGGGCAGGGCGGCTCGCATAGCGCCCGCGCGCGCTCGCGCTCGAGCGAGCGAGCAAGCGCGTTCGAGCGAGCGAGCACACACACACACACATACACACACACACACACACACTCCTACCTCCCCAGAAATCCCGAGGAGGCGCACAGCGCGTAGATATGTCTTGTGTTGCTGTGTGCTGCACGCCCTGCGAGCGGGGCGGGGTGCGCACTGTCCCTCTGTGTTCGTGCGTCGCCCATCTCTCCTGGAGATGTCTGCTCTATTTATTTATTACGACACCGTGGTGGCGGCGTGCCGTTCTCCCATCCCTCCCTTGGGGTGTCTGTTTTCTTTTTTCTTTCTTTTACGACACCGTTAAAATCCCTGTGTGGTGGCGGCGTGCCGTTCTCCCATCCCTCCCTTGGCTTGTCTGTTTTCTTTCTTTCTTACGACACTACGATAGCACGAGGCTTTTGAATGAGTGGGCGTGCACGGCTGTCTGTTTACAGGCGCCGTCCGCCCGCACGACACTACGATAACAAAATTCACTCGCACAACACTGGGCACGTTCCCCCATCCCTCCCTTGGGCTGGGTCTGTTTTCTTTCTTTCTTTCTTTACACTGGGCACGGGACTGGCCGCACTGGAAAAGAATTTTAGACCAGGAAGGCAGTCAAAGGCGGCATGCAGGCGCATGCACGGCCGTTCAGAAACTTTCCCAGCCCTTGGAATGGCTGCTCTCCCGCCCCTCACGCCGGGTGGGCAAGCGGGGGGGAGGTCGATGACCTGCCTAGTCGCCCGACATGCCAGGCATGCCGACCTTTCGGAGCCCCCCCTCGTACACGTGTCCCGCTGGGATCAAGCCAGTACGCCCGAGGGCGACGGTCCCCCGGTAGTAGGCGTTGGCGCTGAAGAGGGAGGAGTCGCCGAAGGACGGGTAGTCGCCGGTCATGCGGGGGGAGGAGTCGTCGGCGAGCAGCAGGGAGGAGAAACGCCTGAGAGGGTGGGGAGGGAGGCGTGAGGCGCGAGGCGCGAGGTGAGGGGGCGCGGGGCGCGGGGCGTGCGTGGGACGCGAGGCGTGAGGCGCAGGGCGTTGGGCGGGAGGGCGCGGGGCGCTCGAGTGAGGGCAGCGGTGTGTTTTGTGTGTGTGTATGTGTGTGTGTATGTGTGTGTGTGTGTGTGTGTGTGTGTGTGTGTGTTGGTTTGTTTGTGCGAGGGCTGGGCGGGCCAGGCCAGGGCGGCGGCGAGCGGCGAGCGGCGTCGGCGAGATCGGCGATGAAGAGATGGGCGAGGGCTCTGGGCGAGGGCTACGCGCGAGTCGGGTTTTGAACTGGAGGCCAGTCGACTGCCGTCGGGCTCTTGAGCGGCTGCGCCACTGGCAGGAGGGGGGGGGGGGGGGGGCTCATCCGGTGGAAAAAGTGGGCATAGCAACTCGCATCTGGTTAGTTGTCAAAATTCCTGGTGTGCAAGAGGGGAGGGGGCTCTGACGGAGTGTGAGGCGGGAGAGGGCAGGGAATGGGCGCGGGGGAGGAGGGGGGGGGGGGGGGCTCAGCCGTGCAAAAAGCATCAATTACTAGTAATGAAGAAATATTGCTCGGCCGTCCATGAAGTCCTCTCGATCTGGAGGAGACGGGTCAACCCCGTGAGGACCAGATCAGGTTCGCATTGTCGTAGCCGGAGGGGATGTTGACCTTTAGCTCTTGGGGCCACCTTTGCGCTTTGGTTTTTTCCCCACTGACCACTCGGGCAACTTTTACCAAATGCCAAAGTTGCACTTTACCACTCGGGCAAATTTGATTGCATTTTACCACTCGGGCAAACTCGATCAAACGGGCGGACGGAAAACGCGTTTGCGGCAGCTCGCCGGAGAGCCATGCATGAAGCGGCCGGCGCGCCACCGCAGCTCACCGATGGAGCTTGCGGAGCGGCTCAATCCTCTGGCGCAGCAGCATCGCGACCCATTCTCCAAGCACGGCCGCTGGCGTTGCGATTGCACAGAGAGCGAGCAATAGTCGCCAAAAACACTGATCTGTGTGCAGCGGATCTCCATGGCGGCCGCGCCCAGCGAAGGGACAACCGCAGGCCTCGGATGCTCGCCCGGAAGCGGTCCCACCGTGCGAGTTGCAGCCCCGGAGGTGGCCGACCCAGCTCACCCCCAGAGAGACCATGCCCAGGGTCAGGCATAAAAGGGGGGTGTTTTTCCGTCCGTCCGAACTCTCGGTACTAAGTAAATAAATAAATAATCAGTAACCAGCCTCCGGCGGGGCCCCCCGCTACCATCCAAACCCGAGTACCGGTCTCAATCATAGATAGAGGCTCAAGTGTGACATAAGTGTCGCTGTCCACATAGACATACACACATACACAAAGCAACTCTCACGACACACGGGCACCGGGTGGAGCGGCGGCGGCGGCGGCAGCAGCACGCGCCGGCGGACGGATTCGGACGGGGCGGAGCAGCGACTGCCTGGGCGGCCGCTGCTCTGTCTGCCAGAGCGCGCCGTCTGCGCAGCTCGAGCGCGGTCAGGTGCATGGAAGCGTGGCGGCGCGGGGACGCGCGGCGGCGGTGGCGAGCAGGCGAGCGGCCCGCGCGCGGCGAGGCGGACAGGTGATCGGCAGGTGGGTGATGGGCCGGAGAGTGACCGCGCCCAGCGATCGGAGGCGAGCCGGTCGTCGCTCGGCCGCAGCTGACCTCGAAGGCGTGCGGAGCGCGACTGTCGGTGTCGGGGGGCGGCCGTCATGTGGCGAGGAGGGAGGACGACAAGTGCGCGTCGTACGGGTCGCTCTTCATCGGCCAGTCGAGCGGACGGGCGTCGGTCAAAGCAAAGAGGGCCGGTGGGGGCCGGTGAGGCCGGCGAGATTCGTTGCGAGATACGGTTCGCGCCCAAACAAGTTTGGACGCTCTGGGGACGCGCCGCAAAATCAAGCCATTGGAAAGGGGGCTTCTGGGGCGGCCAATTCACACCTCGCGGGACTACTTATGTTTTCGTAAACGTAGTCGTGGCCCCCCGCTACGTCGCACGAGTGCAACCGGGTAGCGGGGGGCTAAAACGGACACCTCTCTACTGTGAGATGGGTAAAAAGGAACAGGTCCCCGCCCTTGCGATCTTTGTGCAGGGTTCTTTGTGGGTGTGGTCGGCGACTAGCCGGGGTCGTCCTCCCGATGGGGGACTAGCACTAGCCGTCTTCCACATGGTCCCTCGGGTCACTGCTGCTCCTAATCTCTTCGTACATCCTCCTGCTAAGTAAATGGGAGGAGTGCTTCAATTTCTTCTTCTTATACGCCCAGCTCAAAAGCACACACGCATCACGACGCCTAGACAGGCGAGACGCGGCGACAGCCGCAGCGAGCTCGTTTTAGAAGCGAGCCGCTCGCGGCGAGCAGTTTTAGAAAAAGGGAAAAGGGGGGGAGGGTTAGTTTCGAGGGTTAGTTTGAACCCGAGCCGAGCTTCGCTCGGCTCCCCCCCGCGCGGGAGCCCCCCCCCCCCCTCTCCTCGGGGGGGCGGGCAGAGCCCGCACCACACACTGCGCCTTTGCGGACGCCGGACCGAGGCTTTGAAGCGCTGAGTGCGCTGACGTGAGGCTGGAGCGCCAGAGAGACCCGCGCCTGAGCTGCCGCGGGCGAAGTTTGAGTGAGCTGTGTGAAACCCCGCGCACACGCAATATCGGCTCCGGAGTTCGGAGAGTCAGGCTAAGATAGGATCCCGCCGAAATGCGTAACTCCGAGGAATCAGGAATCAGGAATCAGGAATCAGGAATCGGAATCCCGGTCACAAAATGTGGGCTATCCGACAAATCAGGAATCAGGAATCAGGAATCAAACAAATGGAGCATCAAGAAGAGGAAGAGAGAGAATTCTTAAAATACAAGCCTCTCTCACAGCACACTGGCACGACAAGGGCGCGGACTGGCGCAAGAGAGAGAAGAGAATCGGGAGGGGGGAGCAGAATCAGGAACTGGCTCTGGCTACCCTAGAGAATCGGAAAGGAAGCTGAGGAAACGAGAATGGAGAATCAGAAAGCTGAAAGCGGGGCCAAGATGGGATAGTCTGGGGAGAGAATCAGAATACCTGAGCAGAAGAGGAACCTAGGATGGGGAATCTAGTGAGAGGCAGAGTAGCAAGAATCCTTGTGTAGTAGAGCAGAATAGGAAAGGCAGAATCCTTAGGCGCGGACAGACTTCTCCATTACTCACCGGAGCTAGTGGACACGACACTATGACACTAACCAGTTATACGAGAATACGCACTGCCCCCACGCAATACCATTGGCTATAAAGGCGTCTGCTGCCGCCCGTAGCAGCAAGGCAGCAAGAAAAAATCAGTAACCAGCCTCCGGCGGGGCCCCCCGCTAGCGCTACCATCCAAACCCGAGTCCGGTCTACTAATCATAGATAGAGGCTCAAGCTGCGTGACATAAGTCCACACTGCACACACATATACGACATACACATACGGGGTGTGGAGGGTGAGTTGACCAGGGGGTTGTGCGCCGGGCCCTCCTGCTCGGCTCCAGCCAGTAGACAAGTCTTGTCATCAACAGAGTAGATGGATCTGACCTCGGGGCCGATGTGACCAAGCGCTGGTAGCGTGGTTTGACCTCACACCCATGGTCTCACAGTGTGCCGGCAGTCGCCGAGCAGTGTCGCTCACACAAGCCGCAGCACGAGTGACTGAGGGCCAGTGAGGGCGAGCCCATCGCTGTCACAGCTGTAGCAGCCGCACAGTAGGCTGTGTCAACTGTGCAGAGTGTGTGAGCAGCAGAGGAGCTGCTCTCCAGGCTTCAGGCGCAAAGAGCTGCATGCCACCGAAGGCGCTGTCGAGGTTCGCCGAGCGCGGCGCAGGTTGGGGGAAGCCGCCACCGACGAGCGCGTTGGACTTTTCACTCCGGACAAAAAACGCGGCACAGCGGACGGTGCGGGGCGTGCCGCAAACTTAGCGGTGAGGCGCGGGACCGTCTGTGGCGAAGTGGGTCGCGTCC